GAATATATATTTTAAGAGCTCTTTAAGTACATGTACACCTGTACAGACCTGCAGCAAGGTTGACTTAATTGTTTGGATGTAAACATCTGGGCTATCTTCAATGATGAAATATATCCACTGTTGAAAGGGTATGAGTATTTATGAGCCATTACTACCTGAAGCTTTCAGAATTTATCAAGGAGTGTTGACGATCTGATCCTCATAGAGTACACGGCAACATTGTTCTTTGACGTAAAAGCTGCTTAAAATACGCTCCCCTTAATAAGTTTGGAACCGATTCCCCATTTTGAATCACGCACTTATTAAGTCTGTTTGGCGATTTAAAAACCATCAAATTTGTCATCGTCCGAAGTGTTGTTATCAAGCAACAAATTGAGATTTAACATAATTTACAGGCTTTGGTGTGCTATTAAATGAAAACTTACGGTTTACAAACTTATGGAGGGGGTGTAATCTTTGATGAGGTAACATTTGCAGTAAACAAAACAGCATATCAGGAAAAACTCATGAATCTAATTCGATGCCATTTAAAACACAGCTGTACGTATACTTGCATTGATTTTAAATAGTCGTACAAGCGACTGGTGGATCGGAATTACGGAATTAGAAACGACAATAAACTTCTGCTTAGAATACATGCAGGTAATTATAAGATGTTTACTGATATAATACCACGAGAAACTCCGATAACTTTACGAGTTTTACAGGAACCTTTTTTTCATAGCGCAAACAGGTAAGGCGCGAGGATCAGTCAACTTATTGAACACTCTCGTTACACTCATCTTCATTAGTTAGTAAACCGGTAGTTTTCAATGGATGAAATAAATCTCGAGTAGATCAATCGATTCTAGTATTTCACCAAACTTCAAAACAATGGTACTAACGATTTAAAGATTGGTTGAATACTTTATTAAATGAACTTTACCTAGAATGCCTGAGAACGCGTAGACAACACTTTACAGAGACCGTTTTAATCCAAAATGGCCGCCTTGAGATTTATCCAGAAAGCCAAAAAACTGACCAGTTCGAGATTCGCATACAAAGAATCATCCCTGAAAGTTTGATATTGATCCGTCAAATAGTTCGCCTGAAATGTGTAGACGAGAGGGCGATAAACCCCAGGGCTCAAAATAGACGTACGTTTATGTAAATCTGTATCGGGATGACCCACCGTCCTGATTGGTCCAAATCGACAAACAAAAATGGAGATAAACAAGAAATCGTTTTAATCAGGCTGAAGAGTAGGTTTATGTGAAGAAACGTGTATTTAGCGGATGCTACTTCATATAAGCATCCAAATAATTTCAATAAGCTATGTCAGAGAAATAATGAATACATCTTCATGTTACTCAAGCTACGTCATCAGTTTCCATACATCCTTTAAACCTAAATCTGCTTTAAGGCAGTAGCGGTTCAACATACAATTTCAAAACAAGCAGAGTATCATCACTGGGGAGTATCGTGATGCAACAACACCGTGTTGTTGCATCAAGATGGCCAGACTTCCGGTGATAGATTTTCGTACGATATTTTGTTTCCCCAATTAAACCCATTTCTAGGACGAGTTGCTCAATAACCATACACGTGCAGTTAGCGCACGATCTATATTTAAAGAAACTGTCATTAGTATACATGTACCATCACCAAGAAGCAATAAGTTCACGGTTTTAGTTCCTCACTATTGATGCAACAACACCAACCCGAAGATGCAACAACACTCTTCTAGATTTGAGCAATGATGCAGCAACACCAATTAATATTATAATTTCAGAAGACCATAAATCTCGAGAGGAACAGATTTTTAAATGCTACTATTGCAATACCGTTACCAATTAGCCTACCCATATTTGCGTTCTTCTCAAGGCATTCAATATTTTCAAACATTTATACTTTTACATATTATAATGTACTGGACGTTATTCTATAACATAGTTCAATCGCCTTTACATGACATGCTTTAGTAACCCAATCTATTTTCATAAACCACTGTTCCATAGCTTGATGACCCTGACTCCAGTTAGTATCATTCAAAATGGTGGACAAACATCTTTCGTTCTCGGTAAACATGATGAGCTATTGGATATTATCATGATATTATCTGTCATCCATCTGTGGAACAGTGATAAACTAGTAGATGTACGTTACCACTGTTTATCAAATTATAACTAAAACAGTTTAACTGTGACATTCGTGAGCTTATGTTAATGGGATGATTGCTTCATCTAAGATATAATATGATATGATTCTTTATTTCCTACAATTTGGAGAGCCAACGTGTAAAAACGTCTAATTGACTTTATTAGAGAGGCCGTTTAGTTACACGTTTAATGGAAATCTTGCACGACGCACATGTAGAATTATTGCTCTCTTTGGATTCCTTCTCTCCGACTGAGTAAAAAGGTAAACAAAAGTGATAAAATTTAGGGCCCAAAAAGGTAAATTGATAGGGGTACAGTTATCCCAGATATCCCGGGCCCTCGGGAAATATCACATTGTCTCTCGAAATAAAACCAATATTGAGTCCCTCTCAGTAAATAACTTTTATATAATAGCATTGTATAACTGCAATATCATTAAACCAACACTCATCCTATACAACTCTTGAGAACGATGTACAACTCCTGGATAGCGTAAACTCCTGAGCAGCGTATACAACTCTTCAACTTGATATATGACATCATACTTTGGGTGGGATAACAAAGGATATACAATATACAATTGTAGACCCCTCTTGAGGTCAACTGGCAAAACTGTATACCGATACTGTGAACCTTGAAAGTACTGTTGATCAAGACCAGATGTCGAGGACACTTTTGCCAGTTGACCGAAAAGAGAGGTTAACAATTGTTCTGTTAGTCCAAATAATATAATAATTGGACGAATATATAATCGAATATCACGTGAACATATTTGATAAGTAAAGGTATCATATTTTAGCAAAAAATCCCCAAACCGTCGAATACTTGTAATTTTTTACACAACTTATTTTTTCAAAATTAAAAAAATTTCAACATTAAAAAAAAAATTTCAAAAATAGGGGTCAACAGTACCTAGTAGTGGTCAACAGTTTACAATTGTTGACCTCCCCAGAGGCCAACCGGCAAAATTGTATACCGAGACTGTAAACCGAAAAAATACTGTTGACAGAGACCGAAGGTCGAGGTCAACAGTAGTTTCAAGGTTTACAGTCGAGGTATATGATTTTGACGGTTGATCGAATGGAGAGGTCTACAATTGTTTTGTTAGTCCGAGTAAACTAATAATACACATATAGACGACGATCATCAATCGGCATGGCTTCATTTCACAACCTTTTCTCCGAACCACGTTAGCAATATTTTTTTAGAAAATATGGAGACAGTGCAAGAAGCTTAACTCTGTATTTGGCACATCACGGCGTACTCGTTAGTGAATTAATGTTAATTTTAAGTTTCTATTTGTATTTTTGCTATACTTGTCGCCTAGTAAAGTCATTTTCATCAACATTTACAAAATGTCCGTCTTCCATGTTTTTTTGTGACGTCATGAAACTTTTTTTCAGAAGTAGCGGTCAACAGTACCTAGTAGCGGTCAACAGTACATAATTTTGACCGCTAATCACCCAATCAGAATCGAGTATTTCAGTTGAGGTACTAACAATACATTTTGTTGCCCGCTCATCAACCAATCAGAATTGAGTATTTCAATTGAGGTACTAACAACACAAAATGACTGATATCTGTTGTCTTTCCAAAATTATATTAGTTATTTGTAAGCAATTTCCATACGGTAAATCAAGGGCATTTAATTTAGAAAATGTATAATCTTTACTTTTCAGATACAATATCAATGAGATTGCCTCCCGGGGATTCTATACTTTATTTAGTTTGCCTTGTATATCCTTTTAACTTTAATATAGACAAAGAAACCAAACAAAATACGTTTCGTTCATGGACCACTGACTCACGCGTTTTATTCATGTCCCGACCTACACCTGTAAACAGAACATAAAACAGTTTCTCTTGTTGTTCAATGATACGTACATTATATTGGCGTTTTTGCATCAGCACATTGGTGTTGTTGCATCATCGATAAGAAACAGAGTGGTGTTGTTGCATCAATAGTGAGGAATTAAAACCACGAATTTATCGCTTCTTGATGATGCTACATGTATACCAATGACAGTTTTTTAAAATATAGATCATGTGCTAACTGCATGTGTATGATTATTGAGCAACTCGTCCTAGAAATGGGTGTAAATTGGGAAAACAAAACATCGTACGAAAATCTATCACCGGAAGTCTGGCCATCTTGATGCAACAACACGGTGTTGTTGCATCACGATACCCCCCAGTGATCATCAAGAGTTTGAATTTCAGTCTGTGACAATATTTACACGAGTACATAAGGGGTTTGTGGAATGGAGTTTAAACTTAATGAATTAATTAGGAAAGGAATTTAAAAAGCATATAATTAGTGAGTACTTGTAACTATTCTCAAGGAAAGTTACTTGCTTGGTCATTTTCAAGATTCCACAAAGTACTTATAGTGTTTAAGGTTGATTATTAAAGTCTCGCAAAATATATGCATTTTATTAATTCCTTTAATCCAGGATCATTTGTATCCAGTATGAAATGACGTTTTTATACAAAGCCTATATTTATATGAAGCATCTAATTAAGGTTATTGGAACGCCATTGTGTTTTTATATTGAACGCTTTTTACTTTCTCTATTTAATCAAATCTTGATGTTTTGTCTTCACTATATTTCACATTAATGCATGATTTATCAAAATCTCTTTTTATATCTAAAGCTTTTAAGAGTCTGGATCCCACAGTGTATTTATCATACTTTAATGGATCTCAAATGAAAAAGGTCTTTATTAATAATCATATAACTTCAGCTAAGTCATAAAAAAGTTGGAATGATATCAATTAATGACCCTCTTTTGCAAATTGTAATTTTATAGTGCACATTGTAATATCTATTTTGTACATTGTAAAACATTTTTTATTTCCAGATATGAAAACTAAAAACATGGCGTGCATCGACGAAAAATTTGAACAGCTAATGTTAAACCAACCACAGTCAGTTGAACGAAACGATAGTCTCACCTCAGATGATATACTCGGTCCGATGTCGCCGTTTTCCGACTCAAACGGCCCAGATAGCGATAGGTGCAGTTACCATGGAGATATAAGTGGGCTAGATGAGGCGTCGTTAGTTGACGTTGATGGAACAATCGAAGATGATTTAAAACTTTCACGTAGCGATTCACAACGTCTGCGCCATCTATTGGCAACACGGCGAATAAACAATGGCGGAACAAGCCCCCGGTCGCCGCGCGCTCCACGCACACAATTCCCGACACGATCGCAATCATATAAACGACCAAAATCACGACCGGCGAATCTCGATCTCCAAATTAATCTCGAACAGGAGGAAATGCGACCAAGAACCTCAAGTATGCCGTCAAGAAACACATACAAGAAACCGGATATGAATTACCTCCGTGTGGGGAACGCCGATAGTCCAGGATCACCGCGAATGGGTGACTTATATCGCGTTCGTAGTTTTAGAACAACAAAACGTGGACAGCTAATTAACCATGGGGATTCATTTAAAAGAAAATGGCGAAGCTCAGCAAGCATTGCATCCGAGGCAAGCTCCGGATGTTCAAGTCCGGGATTCAGGGATCGCACAGAGAGTATTAATTCCCGGGGAAGCACTATCACGAGCTGCGAATCACACGGGGAGCCGGAAATCACCCCCGTGTACCAGGCCCTCATTCTAGGGGGCTCTAGAGTCGGTAAATCGGCTCTTGCTCAACAATTTATGACGTCAGAGTATATGGGGGACTACGACACATTAAGTGCAGGTGAGTCTTTGATTCATAATTTCTTGGTACTTACATGTACTTCCATACACACGAGGTTGCCAATCATTCTTCAAACATATTCCAGTTGTTATAGGTAATTCATGTAAAATATCATTTGTTTATCAATGCATAAGCTAATGATAACTGGGTACAAAGCACACTTCTATATAAATATATTGTTTAAAAAATAAACATGTATATACATAGGCAATGCAAAGGGATGTGCCATTTGATCCGAATACCCACATCCTCAATTGTTCAGAGAGTATTGCTTCACAAGTCGAACAAAAGACAAAAATTGGCAAAATACGGATAGTAAGAGATCATAATCTAGTTCATTTCCAATAAGGATTGTCATTTTATTGCTGGATGTACGTTTGGCCTGATTAGGGCATCAAATAAATCCTATATTACGAAAACATACCCGGATGACGATGATATCTTTAACAATGTGGCGAAAATAAGTATTGTAATACAGGAACAATTTGAAAGTCTTCATCTGGTCATTAGTCTTATATAATTGATTCCCGATATAAGGAAAGTGAGCGCCTGAGAAATGAGACACAGAAGTTGTTTATGTATGATCGATCATAAGCCTACTTCTATCATTTAGATGGACGTACTGCATGTATGTTATACTCAATGGGCTTGCTGATTTTTAATTTCCTTAGTGTATACATTTTATGTAAAAGTACCTCCTCATGACTGGTATTAATTTAGAGTTTGCTTTTTCTTGGGGTTTACGAAAAAGACCGACCGCCGTTCACTGACCAGTCACTCTCAACAGTTGGGATCACACGTCGTCGGTGGTCGGCCTTTGTCTTGTTAAGTTTTCCCGTAGAAACGATGGGTTGCAGGTCAGGATCCTAAGTGTTTGCTTGCCTTTCGTTTTAACCATTCTAACTTAATTGAAAATAACAAAATGGGTTGGATGATAAAAACATGACTAAGGCCTCCTAAAGTTTCATATATACGTTTTTTGTCCGATCCCAAAGACTGTCAGCTTCTTTGATATTTCTGAACAGACGCTCTCTTCGAAAATATCTCAATCATTTTCAACTAAATGTAATGGAGTTAATTACGCCGGTGGGCTCGATTAATCTATGGAGGTATTATCAACCAATAAAGGAGAAATCCAGCCTACAAATTAAATCAGTCGCAGATGAGTTATTAATTTATTAGAATCGAAGTGTTTTAACAAGAACATTGCGAAAAAGTAAGGCGTTAACAAGCGTTCTGCGATCCAAGATTAAGTATTAGGGTTGTCAAACCTTTCGAGCAGAGTGTACGCCAGTAACCTACACTCCCCTCCTTAAGTTTGGAAACCGTTTAGTCGTTAACTTATCAAAGCTGTCATTTTTTGAATCCCTATTTGTTCCTTTTAGTAAAGTTTGGAAAACAACAGAATTTATACTTTTTAAATCGCTTAAAAGGCTTTAATACTTAAAACGCCTAAACAGACTCGGGTGAGTGATCTAAAAGTGGACCTTCGGTTGTTAAATTAAGGAGGGTGGAGTGTAATATATTTTCTTGGTACTTTATTCGTCTACGCCTTGTAATGAATATTATTTATTGGACAAAACATACACAAAGCATCAAAGGGCTTTATCAATTCCCCAGACAAAAATCCATCAAAGAGCAGTACAAAACATGATAGTAACATTTTAATGGAATGGATATGAATATTAATCCGAAAACAATGCAAGCAAGTTGCTTCTGAGAAATAATTTGAAAAGAGATGATCGTATATTTATATATATATATACACATGTGATCAAACGGGAATATCGATATCTTTATCGCAGGTACGCATATAAAGAGAATCGATACAATGGAAAATGAGGTATCAGTCTATACGCTAATGCATTTTGTCACGATATGATCAAATGGCTAATACCAGTGGGGAGTTAGATAATAATGATTTCCTTGCTCGGATAATTCTATTACACAGCGGAAATGGAAACGTTGTATTTTATCCGATGAGTGCCATGATAACTTTAAGTGATTTACCAGTTCGTAATACAAGCACAGGTTTTCCAGCATACGTGTATTTTAAGGGTTACGATTTTGAACCGCAAGCGAAGGTGGCCGATGATGGCCGATGATGGCCGATGATTGCCGAAGATCTAACTCTAACGCTTCAATTACGTTGATTGGTTCCTTGAGGCATATTCGACGATAAACAATTTCTTTAAAATCAGATTCGGAAATCCCATCTGTATTCGAATTAAAAAAGTGTAAATGTCAAAGAACTAAATTCGTTTTACTCTTATGTTTAATCCAAGCCCTTGGCACTTTAAGCCTCATCCTACTTCAACTACAAAGCATCAAAGGGTGCGGATAAAACAAGTTCTTACTTTTTCCGACAACATAAGTTCAGCATTTATCCTATAGTCTGAGTGAACCATTACGGTGGCTTTGAAGAAAACTTTTACTTGCAAGTAGACGCTATGATTACAGGGAATAGTTGGCAGGCTTCCTTTCGTGATTTGAAAGACATTTCTCATTTTAAAGACGAGGGAGATAACCTCATATAGTAAAATACCTATTCTTAATCAAAAAATGAACTTTTATTTGCTTGGCACAACCCCCTTCATAAACTTGCCAAGCGGAAGTCCTCTTTTGGCTGACTTATCAAAGATGACAGATGTTTAATCATGCACAATACATACTAAGGTTTTATAGCTATAGACATTCTTTCACAATACGTTTTTCAAAACTGATCTGAGGTTTTAACAACCCCAAATGAATTATTGAAGTAAAAGTATTATTTACCAGGGACCATTGATTCTAAAGTATGCGTCGTCTAATCAAGCTCCGCAAAACGTTAAGTTATTATTATAAATATCTTGATGGCCATCTCGAATTCGGAAACAAGATCGCTTTATTAGCAAATACTTTTAATTTCGTCCGTAAATTGAATCATATTTGCTCTCAGGAATAAGAAAACTTGTTATAAGTTATGATAAATGATGTATAAGATGGGGATACAAGAGATATGCAAATAGAAATCCCAAGCAACTTAATTCGAAACATTATATTTAATGTAATTTGTTACGATGTCATTGTAACGATTTGAAATATGAATGGCATTAGTTAAGTATGTGGAGGATTTTATCATACATGTTCTGGGCCAGTTATACTTTTTGTAACTATTTGCTCTACGTAAAAGAAAATGTAATTATCTCAATTTTGATTCCTTTACCTTACACAATGAACATGATTACATTTCTAAAGCATGTCTCTGCGAGTACCTAGCTAATCTAAACATATTTTCGATCCCGTTTTTTCGTCCCATTGACTCACATGTTGAATCTTGTTGATCTTTGAAAACCTCCAAATCTCGTTTCTTATCTTTTCTCAATATTGCAATCATCGTACATGTACTAGGTACTGACCACCATGGCAATTTTTCTCGGAGTACGATCCTTACTCACTAAAACCCTTATTTAACTTTAGCTTGTTACTAAGGAATTCAAGATGCACGTTTTTAACACAATCTACATGAACGTGTAATAATTTTACTTTTACCCTCTCAATTATTATTCCCAGACCTAATTACATCTACAGTATTTTCCTTATCAACATTTATATTCAATCCGGGAAGTAAGTACCATAGTAAGTAGTATTACTACAGTAGTACAGTAAGTGCTACATCGAGGAGAACTAATCCCTAAAGGGCCATAATTCTACACGTCCGCGTATACGTTTTGTTAAAAACGTGTCGCTTAACCTCTCTATTCCCTAAATCAGATTCTTTATCGGTTTCTGTCTACATCGAACTTGAAAATTGCTTATATTGATATTTAATCAAAGTCAGTCAATAAATGTTTTTGTCAACCTAGGAATAATACGATTATGAGTTTGTAGATTGTAATTTGATTTATTAAGATGCTGTATAATAAATGTCATTTCGACTTAAACTGCTCAACACAACTTTTTATCCATTGAACGTAATACGATTCGTATAAATCATAAATTGATTAACCCAATGAATCTTTTATCGATCTAATGTCTCATTCAATTTTTGAGATTATTGTCTCGCCATTATCGGATTAAGGCCTCATTTAAAGTGTCTTCGATGGATGTCAATAGATGGCGAAGAATTCCAATGGATAATACATAAGTAATAACACGATATTGAATTGCACAAATAGCAATTATACAGAATGGTGAAGCCTTAAGTACACTCCCCTACATAAGTTTCGCAATCGGAAATTTCGATTTAAACCTATCAGTCAAGCCAAGTAAGTAAGTCAACGTTCGAAAATAAAAATCTCAAAAATCGTACATCTTTGATTTCCAAAATAATTTGTGAGGTGGTTATTTAGATGATAATACACATTTTAACGCACTAATTTTGAGTACACCTCGAATCAATTCTCAACAAAGCGTTCTCGAAATAAGTATTCGAAATGTTTGAGTTCGGGATGATAAAAGTACGTTAAGATATACCGCTCCTTAACAAACTCCTTCAGGAACAAGATATAGAATCAAATGCATATTCTTCCTATTTATTCCCTGACACATGCCAATGAATGTTGCATAAGTAAATATCTCTATTTTAAAAAATTGAAAACGTTGTTCTATACAGGTGCCATTTTTTATAATTAAAATTGAACAATTTGCATTTCTAAATTGATAAGTTTCTTGGAATACAACTTAACTGTAAACGATTTAAGTCATTAATAATATTTCCCTTAGTGAACCCATGCTGAATAGACAGTAACTGGGTCAATGTTTTGTGTTCAACCTTGTTTTCATGACTTTTAAACATGAGTCGACGATTATGTAGGAAATTTCATTTTCAAATGTAAGCGTGTCAACTCCTGTTTTTGCACAATATTTTGCCCTTTATAATGATAGATCGCCAAAATATGCATGTACCTCTCAATTAGGCGATATGTTTTTCAATTGATAGATGTAAACTATAAACTCAAACAAAAATTCAAACCACCCGCTCTATTATTTTGATTACACAAGACGAAATATCCACTCCCGGGGAGCACTTTGGTATCACTTTGAAGGAGGATTCTTGAAAAATCGTTCGAATTTTCACAAAAGGTTTCACGTAATTTTATTGCTTTGTTTAAGCCTCGACTTATAGCATACTCAAATCCGATACCATAATTATGAATCAAAATGAAACATTAAATTCACCAGGTTAAATAATAAACCGTTTCGAGAATTGATGATTTGAGTTAATTGTGGATATTTTTATAAATGTAAGTTGGCATGTAATCGACAGTTAATGTACACACATGATGTATGTATCAACGTGTGACTTAAATATCAATTCGTGACTATCACATTTGGCTTCCAAAAATTAAGTTGGAAATTACAGTGGTAGGAGATTAACGAAAACGTCAATCACATCCAAATATCCGGACGACGTCAAGTATTAACAAAACACTTTTCGTGCATCTCGAACATGGCAAGGTTCTGTTATCCAGCAATGTGCATTTCGAAAGAAAAAATTCACAAATATCAACAAATTTCATTGAGTAGGATATTACATTCGAAATCACAACTTTCAAATTATTTTTTATAACCGAGAATTGTAAGAACTTGAAACATGTTGTGAGTTTTTCAAACGGCATATCCTCATTCATGTTCTTTGACAAGGATGAATCCATTTGAAAACATGGATTTTCTTGATTATTCTTCAAAACTACCCTTGAAATATAAGTATGTAGGATATTACAGTGTAAATTGACACGCATTTGTTTGATCGATATCCTGAACAAATAAATGCAGTACCGTCTTGCAATATTTGAAAACCGAAAGTTCATTCTGTATGTAAACAAGAAAAAATACATTTATGGTTGGTTCATAATGAAAAATGGCGAATAACATATATCTTTGAAGTAGGTGTATACAGGGACACAGTGGAAAATCAGAAATTTAGGTCATATCCCAAAGATTGCTTCACCAATATGTAACAGAACATCAAAATTATCATTTACAAGTTTGCTGATAGGTTTATTGAAAATAATTAACCAGAGGTTTACTTCAATTGTGGCACCATTCTTAGTAAATATTGATGAACATACGAATATCGAATGTTGACTAAGTTACTTGTCTTGACCGCTATATGAGTTTGACGATTTAAAAAATCGTCAATTTTGTCAATTCACGAAATATTGTAATTAAGGAAAAATAAAGATTCAAACATTGATAGGTTTTGTTATACCATCCACTTAAATATTTTGGTTGCCAAACTTATTAGGGGAGTGTACATTTATAATAATACTAGGCATATGCTTTAGACAATTAGTTAAGTGTTGTCTAATTGTGTCTCCATGGCAATGATATAATCCATGGACACCACATTGTGCGGTACATGTTACTAACTATTTTCTCCAGAGAGTGGGAAACCACTCTTCATTTTTGGTTAGAGGATCTCCATTTTTTAATCCAAAAGTTTCAGGCGGGGATGGCACCCAGGGCCGGTCTGCTATATAACAATCGTCTCCGCACCATCTTGTGCTAATGACACGTCTGGGCGTTGCTAATGTGTTGCCAGGGGCACCATGGAGCGCCTTAAAATGGAACACGATACAATCGCCCGGTTCACACGCCCATTTTAGGACCTCATATCCATCCAGATTGGCATCAATATCTGGTAAATCTTCCCATTCCTTTTCGTCATCTTTCACGCGTACATAGTTTTCAGCAGTTTCGAATTTCCTCGGATTGAACCATTTTCCGAACTTGTGTGAACCCTTAACAAACCGAAGCGTTGTCGCCTCAGGAACGGGATCAATCGGCATCCAAATCGAACAACATTTATCGCCATCTATAGGAAAATATGATTGATCCATGTGCCATGGTGTTACTTTTTGGGCGCCAGCATCTTTCGTTAGTACATGTTCATAGTAGTAGGATACATAATTCGAGTTAAGTAGTTCGCCCGCGATATCCTTTGCGACAGAGTTAAGGACATAATCATTATACTCCGGGATTCTTTTCCAATTTAAATAATCGTTGAAGTATCTACCTGGGTCACCAGGGTGCGCTTGTATACTCTCCCCATACTGACTCATATCAGCCTTGTTCTTGTCAATCCCACGTGCAATAATATCCATCCATTTAATATCAAAAACACCTTTAAGAAATACGACTCCATCCTTATCAAAATGTTCCCTTTGTTCTTGGCTCACTAACGGAGGCATTGCGTTGTGTTTTGCGAAAGTGTATATAAGTTTGTCCTTCGACTCGGTTTGTAAGTTGTTATAGATAATGTTGTTTGTTGTATATTTCATGACATGAGCTGAACCCGGGAGTTGAACATGTGGCTTCTATGTAAACGCTATATGTAAAGTTAAATGTTAACTTTAAAAGCAACTGGACTTTACAGCTCTCAAATAAAATGTCATGTTCCCTCAAATATTTTTCGGATATCCTCTCTTATATTTGATTCAATAGCCTTATCGCATGCAATTCTATTCACGTTGGCATCGTTACAAAATTCACTTGTTCTTAATTCTAACTAGCCCTCTATTTGTCATTTTCTTCAGCGTTTTAAAAGACAATCCCATGATATAAAATTTCAAGAATCGTTAACAGTATACATACATGGGTCACCATACATACATGGAGGTAATGGTTGATAATGCATTTAGTTTGAAAGGTAATTGGTAATTAGGTAAAGTAAAGTAAATGAAACAAGAGAGTTTTATATGAATGTATAAAATAGATTTTGAACAATCATACAAACTACAGAAATAAAAGGTGTAGAACAAATACGCTTAAAGTCATTGTTAAATATCATATGAACATTATCGTGTCAAGTAAAAATCACTCATACTCAAACAACTATAATCAAATCACGTATATTAAAAACACTCATACTTTAACACTAATACTCAAGACATTCATACTCACATCACTCATACTCAAGTCCCTCATACTCAAATCATTCACCCTAAAACACTCATACTCAAATCATTCACCCTAAAGACACTCATACTCAAAACGCTTATACTCAAATCATTCACCCTAAAAACACTCATACTCAAATCACTCATACTCAAATCATTCACCCTAAAACACTCATACTCAAAGCACTTATACTCAAATCATTCATCCTAAAAACACTCATACTCAAAACTCTTATACTCAAATCATTCACCCTTAAAACACTCATACTCAAATCATTCATTCTTAAAAGATTAATACTCAAATCACTCATACTCAAATCACCCATACTCAAGACATTCATGCTCAAAACTCAAACTCAAAAACTCAAAACACGGGCAGCACATTATTTCGTCTTAGTTTACACCCATATAGCAGCTCTTGGGTTAATACTCAGTATTAAGAGGGGTACGACATTAAGATTATTTTAGAACAACTTTTCTGATCAAACTTGGAGTATTGCACCTAGGACGCTGAAATATGCTAAACTAAGGCCTTAAACGCTTTGGTATGAAGCATTCGCATCTTAATTCACAATTTTTCAGTTGCTACAACTGTGTTAGAACCACGTCGGGAGTCGAAGATGAAGCATTCGAGTCGAGCAGGTAGCCAATTAATAATACTAAACAAACTCATCGTCTTGGAATATCAAAATTCCATTATCTTTCTCGTAAGTAATAAAGTGAAGTTTTTAGCAATAATATTTACATTTTCTTCCAAGTTCCGTATCTTAGTTGGCACAACTACTCGAACGAAGATCCATCCGTCTGCTCAAATTAAAGACGCATCGCATTCTTATTTCCGAGTTTTTTCTCCCTTATAGCTATTTAAAATGTTTGAATTATTTGCATTTTTGTACAATTAAGAGTAATAACATCACTCCTTTGGATTTCATTTTTGTCAATATTCCTCTTTTATTAATCTATTTTGCATTTTAAAATTGATCATTTTGATATTTTGTTCACGGGTCGTTATCTTTTACTTCAACAAAGCTGAGGTATGATGAGATAAATTTGAGAGGTTTAATGGTTTTATATTTGAACATGAAAAAATCAGACAAATATTGTGAACTGCAAAAATATGGTTTCAAATAGGTGTTTATTTTTTACTCATTATTTATCCAACTTAGTTAATAAACGCACCATGTAGTACGAGTGTTGTCAAAAAAGTTTAGAAACTTCTACTCTTATTCAATTAGATTTTATTTTTTCGACTGGGTTTTACCTGAATTATATTCAAGTATTCTTTAGGATTGGAAGATAGTTAAACACATAAACAAATACACATTGTGTTGACATGTCAACATGTTGTTTACCAGCAATCATTACGTATGGAATGAGTGATACAACAACAATAGGCGTTCATCAAAGGTTTCTTTATTACTACATCTCAAATAATCAAGAACTCGCAAATAAACAAATACGTTAAACAATCACCTGGTGTATATATGTGTAAACAGGTTGCCTAATGTTTACCTCCAAATAAACAACAAAGCAAAATATGCAGAATTAAAGTTTTATGTTTTCACGTTCGTGATATTTTAATAAATGTTGACTAACATATAAAACCAGATCGATACGTCTGGAACAATATCGATATATCAATAATATATACCAAAGCCTAAGATCATAGTTTACGTACTATACAGAAGTATATACAATTTTATGTTATTTTGACTCATATATCACAATAGAAACAGACCAATGAGTCTAGTATTTCCCCGATATATCAATATTATGAATAGGTGCTGGTCTAAGTACAGTACATGCACGTAAACATGTTTTTGGTACTATACAATAATACAGACCCGAACACCTGTCGGTTGTCTTTGACTTTGACGCTATAGTAGACTATAGCGTCAAAGTCAAAGACAACCGACAGGTAGCTAGTAGCCAATCACATTATAAATAACTAGTTCAAAAACTATCACATTTCCAATACCAACTTCTCTCTAAGCTTTCGCTTACAGAGTTCGTTCAGTGTATAAAATAGCAGACTTGTTAACTTTCTTGCAGAAGAATGTTACAACATGGGATATAGTTAGACGCATGATAGCCCATGATTACTCAAGTACTGATTTGCTTACTTGGTTCATTCAGTGTATAGCAAGCTCACATTCTCTCTAGACTTACACTGAACGAACCAATGATGCAAATTACCGGGTGTATCCATTTTCTTAAAATTCGGAACAACGGCATATTTAAATATTGAAATATAGCTCTTTTTAGTGTCAACTACATTTACTTCCAATCGTCTATGCTAATTTAAGCATTTAACAGTGAAAATGTGACCAAAACGAAAACATGTTTTTTAATTGTTTTTTTTAAATAGTTCCGAATATACTTCGTTTATGATTCCGTTTTCTTCAATTAAACGCATTAACATTATTTGATATATTCCTTGTTTACCAGTTTTGTTTATATTAGGATCGATGTTGCATCGAGGCACGTCAGATTTGTACTAATTAAAGGGTGTCGATAACCTGGAAGTTCAAGATCTTTCTGTTATTTTGGGAAATTGATCGATTCATCACATTGTAAGCAAAATAGAATATATTACAGATGTTTCTGTGTTTCTGTTTCTTTATTTCCAGCTTCAAAATTATTTAAGTTTTTAAAAGTTAAAACAGAATAGGGAAATAGTAAAAATATGTTTCTTGTCTCATGATTATGCACGATTGTGGATATGTTTGTTCGTTAATCTATTGGTGTCTAACATTAAAAGTATCTGGGTTCCTAATTTGCATCAAGTGAAACTTAAAGTAAACTAATTGCCAAACAAGGTAGGATTTAAGATATGTATAATTTTTTGCATCGCTAAACAATGAAGTGATCACTTCATGTCTGTTACTTTATTCATTTATAATTCCTTTATTTCAATCTACTAGTATTTGAATTTAAAACCCCATGAATAATTTCCGGCTCTCTGAAGGACATTTGCTTGTTTTGGTTTTACGAGATAAGAAAAAGAGAAAAGAAATAAAGTGTTACAAGCAAAAATTAGCTAAGTTATTGTTCCCTTTGGTCATTTTATTGTCTGTTCGTCCCACTACTAAACCGACGTTATTTCCGTCGTATATCGTAATTTCTGACTTACGAACGCCATTATTAAGTCTTCGAACACTCCCCTCCATAAGTTTGGCAACTAGAAGTCCACTCATGAATCACTCATGAAAGCCTGTTTCGGTTTTGAGATTTAAAAAATGTCTTTGTCATAAATTTCTCTTGTGATTAAGGAACAAAATTAGAATTCAGACACTGACTGGCTTAAATATGCTATCTAAACAAGTCTTTTTCTTGAGCACTAAATAAAATCATTATAAAGGTTGGGAGAAATGGCGGGAAACAAACAATAGCAGACGACATTGTAAACATTGGTCATGCTAGAAGCTATTCGAGCCAGGGTCTAAAAGCATTTAGATGTAGTTCCTTCCCCATTGACACCACTGAATAAGACATTTCACATTCCCTCTGGTCGTGTTTTCCCCCATTCCCCATTATTTCAGTCAAGTGTCTTATTTATTGCATTTAGTCGTTCGATTGACGCGGATGCCGGGGAACATACTTCCGGTTCGTGGGAATGCATGCATTCGTTTAATGCCATTTTTTCTACTTTAGTGATATCGACTGAATGTTTAATTTTTGATGATGTTCGACGGACACACGGCAACCTCTAATAAAGAAAACTGGTTACTAGAGAACAATCGAGAAATTCGCCAAATAATTGGCTATCTATGAGCACCTAATCACGGGGTACCATCGAATAATTTTGGCAACGTACCGGAGAACGACATTTTACGAAGAAATGGCAATAATTTAGCACAATATATTTTTTAACTAGAGTTCTACTTTGATTTTGACAAAAGTAAGTATTCCATGCAAAGGCTATTTCATTCATGAGTTTGTAGGAATTCTGTTGGAACCCAGTTCTGATTAAGTACAAAGTTATTGAAATCGGCGCAGTCGGACTTTACTCCGAAAGATGGTTTTTCGATTATAACTTTTTACAACATTTAAGTAAAGACTTTTGAAAAAAGTACAGAATAGTCCTCATACTATTGAATAATTCTGTCATTTCTGATTCACACGACTCTGATTTGTTTAATTAAAAAAAAAGTTTTAAGAATATTACTTAGGAACGTAACCGGAGCTGGGAACGTAACCGGAGCAGATCAGTTGGATTATATAATCTAAAAAAATAAAAATATATGATTTAAAGGGTGACGCATATCGTTTACCAAATCGAACGCTCGTTTCTGGTGTTGCTCACCGTTTAGTATAAAAGGCCCGATCCCGGAATAATACTCAAGGGTTCACAGGTTCGAGGTTGTTGTGTCAACACCTCTAACTGTTATATAGCAAAAGTATATTATAGATCGTCACACATTTATAAAAGGATAATTTTTATTTTGACAAATCAATTCCACATTTATGGGTGAAGTTTCAGGATCTTCTATTTGTGTACAATGAGGAAAAATTGGCATCTAAATTTCCCCATAACGTAATAGCACACAGCTTGGCATATGAAATATCCTACAAATGAAACAAAGCAAGACAAAC